GAGTGGGGCTGACCCAGGCACATGCAGATCCCAGGGTGCTGCCCGTCCCATGCATGGTCACGACGGGGTGCACAGGCAAGTCTGGCCCCGGGAAATCCATCCTGCCCCGCCCCCCTCCTCTCTACTGTGTAGCTGCGTACTGCCTGGCTGGCAGACATGCTCACACAGTGCAAGCGCATCTACTAGCCAGGCAGTACACAACTACATATTGATACTCATGATAATAATCAAACTTACTTAATTAGAAAATACCCGACATTTCTATGTCCGGTATTTTCTCAATTTGTTTCCCGGACAGAAAACTCAAATACTCAACTGTCTGGTTCAAAACTGGACAACCCTACCTGCAGGGTGAGTGTGGGGTAATGCCCCATCACACCGAACCCAGACAGCTCTCTGACAAGCCCCCCAAAGGCCCATGTTGCTCAGTTGGGTCTATCACCAACCAAAACAAGTTCAGTGAAGTCCCCTCTCTGACTTTGCCATCGACAACCATACCCAGCAGCCCCAAGCCTCTGCTCTGGACCTCAGCCCCTAACCCGCCTCTGTAGCCATTTAGTTATGCAGCCTCTATCGCCATGGTACCTGGATGGCTGTGAAGCAGGGAAGGGCTATTACCTCCATGTTGCAGAGGGGAAACTGAGTCACAGCTGGCATCGTACGGCCGGTTAGGGGTGTGGTTTTATTTATGATCGTTTCACGGTGGCAAAAGCCCCAGTGCAAACGCCGTTGTCGCTTATCTCGGTCAAGGCTGTTCCCCACTCTGGCACGTGGCGTGCAAACCAGGATCAGCTATGCTGGCAAAAGCTGCATCTTCATGAGCTGGACAGGAAAAGCCTTCCTAGGACAGACAGTGTGTGCGCCAGGGTCACACAGGGAAGAGCTGGGAACTGAGTCCAGATCTCCGAAGTCTCAGAGTAGTTCTCACCACAGAACCATCCTGAACTCAAACATCGGCTGCGGGAAGAACAAGACACAACCTCGGAGCTCGTCTGTTGCCGCAAAGACCACGATCACTTAACGGCCCACAATGATCAGCTGCTTGCCTGCCTCCTGGGCGGGGTTAACACTGGCAGCGCACACTGGGGTCCTGCAAGGGTTAGCATTGCAACCCTTCTTACAAGCCCTTGGTCAGAAGCTGGAGAGTCCTGGGGATTGACTGACTCCCCGTGTCCTCCAGGACCAACATCTGGGCTGCAGCAGCACTAGGGGAAGAAGACCGTCCGCATGGCGGCAAACCAGGACAAGTAATTGCAAACTGAGGGCTGACCGGGGTGCAGGGGAGGCAGCTGCATGAACAGCATCCTCCTGGCGGGATACGTGGAAGTCATGGGAACTGCTTGTTTGCAAGGCTGGGAGATGGGGCAGGCTGGCTACGCAGGGCACGGGCAGCGCTGTGCCCCGAGCGTGAGCCCACGCTGCTTCAGGGCCCTGGCCTGCTCCTGGGGAACCAGCCGCCGGAGGGCTAGTGGCTTCACTGGGCAGGGGGCAGGCCCTGAAACTCTCTGGCGCCCTCCCCTCTGCAGGATTACACGCCTGCCTGGAGCTGATGGAAGCCTGGCTCCCCACGCTGCTGCTGCTGCGGGACTACACCATCCCCACCCTCTTCACCGTGTACACGTAAGAACCACCCTCCCCCTGCCTGTGAGCACTCGGGGTGGGGGTCGGGGGCTCTGCTGGTCTGTGCCCCAGCTTCCTCTGGTCATTGGCACCGACGTGGGAGGGCTCACAGCGCAGTCGTCCTGGCTGGTACTGGCAGGGCCCTGCCACGGGGGGGGGAAGGCTCACAACATAGGCGTCCCGGCTGGTACTGGCAGGGCACTGCCACGGGGGGCGGGGGAGTGCTCACAACATGGGCGTCCCAGCTGGTACTGGCAGGGCACTGCCACGGGGGGCGGGGGAGTGCTCACAACATGGGCGTCCCAGCTGGTACTGGCAGGGCACTGCCACGGGGGGCGGGGGAGTGCTCACAACATGGGCGTCCCAGCTGGTACTGGCAGGGCACTGCCACGGGGGGCGGGGGAGTGCTCACAACATGGGCGTCCCAGCTGGTACTGGCAGGGCACTGCCACGGGGGGCGGGGGAGTGCTCACAACATGGGCGTCCCAGCTGGTACTGGCAGGGCACTGCCACGGGGGGCGGGGGAGTGCTCACAACATGGGCGTCCCAGCTGGTACTGGCAGGGCACTGCCACGGGGGGCGGGGGAGTGCTCACAACATGGGCGTCCCAGCTGGTACTGGCAGGGCACTGCCACGGGGGGCGGGGGAGTGCTCACAACATGGGCGTCCCAGCTGGTACTGGCAGGGCACTGCCACGGGGGGCGGGGGAGTGCTCACAACATGGGCGTCCCAGCTGGTACTGGCAGGGCACTGCCACGGGGGGCGGGGGAGTGCTCACAACATGGGCGTCCCAGCTGGTACTGGCAGGGCACTGCCACGGGGGGCGGGGGAGTGCTCACAACATGGGCGTCCCAGCTGGTACTGGCAGGGCACTGCCACGGGGGGCGGGGGAGTGCTCACAACATGGGCGTCCCAGCTGGTACTGGCAGGGCACTGCCACGGGGGGCGGGGGAGTGCTCACAACATGGGCGTCCCAGCTGGTACTGGCAGGGCACTGCCACGGGGGGCGGGGGAGTGCTCACAACATGGGCGTCCCAGCTGGTACTGGCAGGGCACTGCCACGGGGGGCGGGGGAGTGCTCACAACATGGGCGTCCCAGCTGGTACTGGCAGGGCACTGCCACGGGGGGCGGGGGAGTGCTCACAACATGGGCGTCCCAGCTGGTACTGGCAGGGCACTGCCACGGGGGGCGGGGGAGTGCTCACAACATGGGCGTCCCAGCTGGTACTGGCAGGGCACTGCCACGGGGGGCGGGGGAGTGCTCACAACATGGGCGTCCCAGCTGGTACTGGCAGGGCACTGCCACGGGGGGCGGGGGAGTGCTCACAACATGGGCGTCCCAGCTGGTACTGGCAGGGCACTGCCACGGGGGGCGGGGGAGTGCTCACAACATGGGCGTCCCAGCTGGTACTGGCAGGGCACTGCCACGGGGGGCGGGGGAGTGCTCACAACATGGGCGTCCCAGCTGGTACTGGCAGGGCACTGCCACGGGGGGCGGGGGAGTGCTCACAACATGGGCGTCCCAGCTGGTACTGGCAGGGCACTGCCACGGGGGGCGGGGGAGTGCTCACAACATGGGCGTCCCAGCTGGTACTGGCAGGGCACTGCCACGGGGGGCGGGGGAGTGCTCACAACATGGGCGTCCCAGCTGGTACTGGCAGGGCACTGCCACGGGGGGCGGGGGAGTGCTCACAACATGGGCGTCCCAGCTGGTACTGGCAGGGCACTGCCACGGGGGGCGGGGGAGTGCTCACAACATGGGCGTCCCAGCTGGTACTGGCAGGGCACTGCCACGGGGGGCGGGGGAGTGCTCACAACATGGGCGTCCCAGCTGGTACTGGCAGGGCACTGCCACGGGGGGCGGGGGAGTGCTCACAACATGGGCGTCCCAGCTGGTACTGGCAGGGCACTGCCACGGGGGGCGGGGGAGTGCTCACAACATGGGCGTCCCAGCTGGTACTGGCAGGGCACTGCCACGGGGGGCGGGGGAGTGCTCACAACATGGGCGTCCCAGCTGGTACTGGCAGGGCACTGCCACGGGGGGCGGGGGAGTGCTCACAACATGGGCGTCCCAGCTGGTACTGGCAGGGCACTGCCACGGGGGGCGGGGGAGTGCTCACAACATGGGCGTCCCAGCTGGTACTGGCAGGGCACTGCCACGGGGGGCGGGGGAGTGCTCACAACATGGGCGTCCCAGCTGGTACTGGCAGGGCACTGCCACGGGGGGCGGGGGAGTGCTCACAACATGGGCGTCCCAGCTGGTACTGGCAGGGCACTGCCACGGGGGGCGGGGGAGTGCTCACAACATGGGCGTCCCAGCTGGTACTGGCAGGGCACTGCCACGGGGGGCGGGGGAGTGCTCACAACATGGGCGTCCCAGCTGGTACTGGCAGGGCACTGCCACGGGGGGCGGGGGAGTGCTCACAACATGGGCGTCCCAGCTGGTACTGGCAGGGCACTGCCACGGGGGGCGGGGGAGTGCTCACAACATGGGCGTCCCAGCTGGTACTGGCAGGGCACTGCCACGGGGGGCGGGGGAGTGCTCACAACATGGGCGTCCCAGCTGGTACTGGCAGGGCACTGCCACGGGGGGCGGGGGAGTGCTCACAACATGGGCGTCCCAGCTGGTACTGGCAGGGCACTGCCACGGGGGGCGGGGGAGTGCTCACAACATGGGCGTCCCAGCTGGTACTGGCAGGGCACTGCCACGGGGGGCGGGGGAGTGCTCACAACATGGGCGTCCCAGCTGGTACTGGCAGGGCACTGCCACGGGGGGCGGGGGAGTGCTCACAACATGGGCGTCCCAGCTGGTACTGGCAGGGCACTGCCACGGGGGGCGGGGGAGTGCTCACAACATGGGCGTCCCAGCTGGTACTGGCAGGGCACTGCCACGGGGGGCGGGGGAGTGCTCACAACATGGGCGTCCCAGCTGGTACTGGCAGGGCACTGCCACGGGGGGCGGGGGAGTGCTCACAACATGGGCGTCCCAGCTGGTACTGGCAGGGCACTGCCACGGGGGGCGGGGGAGTGCTCACAACATGGGCGTCCCAGCTGGTACTGGCAGGGCACTGCCACGGGGGGCGGGGGAGTGCTCACAACATGGGCGTCCCAGCTGGTACTGGCAGGGCACTGCCACGGGGGGCGGGGGAGTGCTCACAACATGGGCGTCCCAGCTGGTACTGGCAGGGCACTGCCACGGGGGGCGGGGGAGTGCTCACAACATGGGCGTCCCAGCTGGTACTGGCAGGGCACTGCCACGGGGGGCGGGGGAGTGCTCACAACATGGGCGTCCCAGCTGGTACTGGCAGGGCACTGCCACGGGGGGCGGGGGAGTGCTCACAACATGGGCGTCCCAGCTGGTACTGGCAGGGCACTGCCACGGGGGGCGGGGGAGTGCTCACAACATGGGCGTCCCAGCTGGTACTGGCAGGGCACTGCCACGGGGGGCGGGGGAGTGCTCACAACATGGGCGTCCCAGCTGGTACTGGCAGGGCACTGCCACGGGGGGCGGGGGAGTGCTCACAACATGGGCGTCCCAGCTGGTACTGGCAGGGCACTGCCACGGGGGGCGGGGGAGTGCTCACAACATGGGCGTCCCAGCTGGTACTGGCAGGGCACTGCCACGGGGGGCGGGGGAGTGCTCACAACATGGGCGTCCCAGCTGGTACGGGCAGGGCACTGCCGTGTGGGTCTCACACAGGCATCCCGGCTGGCACTGATGGGGCACTTCCAATGCTCCCGGCACTGCTGTGGGGAAGTTCACATGGGAAGTCTGGCTCACGGCCGCAGTTGCTTTCCTCCAGCAGGGGTGGTCGCAGGGTGCCTGGGGGGATGCGGCAGCCTGACAACCGCGCCCTCCCTCTCCTCTCAACAGCGAGCAGGAGCTGAAGCACTCCCTGAAAATCCTGACGGAGCTGGAGACCCAGATCACAGGCTACGGAGCGAATCCCTTTGGCTTCCGCCAGCCGAAGCAG